CTGTACAGGAACTGGATATTATGGGATTAACTGCTCAGGTATAATGTGATAATAATGTTATTATTAATTATTATCAGATACAGTGTCTCTACCTTCATCAGTTACATCTCCTACACCAACTGTTTCACCTTCAGTTGTTTTAATAAATACAGTAACACCTAGTCTTTTTCCTTCGTCCTCTTCGGATGTTACAACAGCACCAGTTACATTAATAATAGTAATAATAGCAATAGTGATTGGTCTCCTGCTGCTACTAATAATAGGAGGACTCGTTGGCTTTGCTGTTTATTCTTATGCTACAAAAGGGAAAAGGAAAACTTTCCCTCTCACAGAAGTAAGTGAAGTATCATCATTATCCTTTAACTATTATCACAAATATTAATTCTTACAGAAAATAGGATGGAGAAAGAAGCCAGAAATAGTTTGAAAAGACGTTTCAGCTAATTAAATGTTGCTAAATCAATTGGAGTATAATATTTAATTGTGCTAACAACAAAAGTGATGAAATGATTAATGAAAAGTGATGTAATGGCAATAATAAGTGATACTTGTTTATCGATTTCACTGGATTTCTTGATTGGAGTCAGCTTGAAAATGAGCTTGTTTTTTCTTGATCACCAGCAGTATTTATCATGTACTATCACATTAATTAGATTCACGTGTGACTGTACTTGGTACTTGCTCTTTATACATTAATTATATTTATTATTATATTTATTATTATAATAATATTCATGGCTTGTGCACTGTTGTTGTCATTATGTGTCTCTAAGTTGTTGCTATGCTAGTTCAGTAGGTTAGGGAGTGGCTCACATTTGCAGTCTTGATCATGATGAAGTTACTTGTAATAGTTGTATCTCTTTTCTTTACGTTTGCTACTTCTCAACATTGTCCTCTACCAACTATAGCAGAGATAGAGACTGTTTTGCCTCCTTTACTAGCCGAATCTGATGGTTCTCCCTCTTTCTCTCCTAATGTAACTGAGGGATCAGTTCAATATGTCTGTCAAGCTCAAGGGAGCATGATTGATACTTATGAAGCCATAGCTCTTATAGCTACATTCACTCCTAACCCAGGAGAACCTGTACTAACTAGGATACTTGATATGGAGTGTAGCAGTGGTACATGGAGTGGAAGGACTGGTAGTTTGGATCCTCCTCCTGCTAGTGTTGTTGGTGTTCCTCCAAGAACTAATTGTTATCGGTGCCGGGAAGGGTTTGGTGGAGATACTAGATGTAGAGGTAACCTAATGTATATACTGCATACATAATGTACAATATAATTGTTATATTCTAGAATGTGACAGTGCTTGCAATACTGGATTAGAAAGATGTACTGGATCAGGGTCTGGTGATTGCTGTCTTGTATTCCTACCTAATGGAGACTGTAGTGATGATTGCTCATCCTTTGGTGTGGATTATGTAGCTAGTGAAGACACTGATTATAAATGCAGTAAGTACAGTATACAGTAGTTTATGATTATCTTTATTGTTCTTAATAGTTTGCAATTTAACCTGTGCTCTTGGTCATTCACCAAACAGTAACTGCACTGAATGTATATTCAATGATATTTGTGATATTAGCAATCCTTGTTTGAATGGAGGAGAGTGTACATCATTTAGTGGCATGAACAATTATACATGTAACTGTACAGGAACTGGATATCATGGGATGAACTGCTCAGGTACTATAACAATAATGCTATCATTAATATTATAATTCATCAGATATAACGTATTCAACATCTTCAATACAAGGAATGCCTCAACCTTCATCAGTTACATCAACTAGACCAACTTCTTCATCTTCAGTTGTTTC